GGGGGGGGGGGGGTGGAGAGGAGCGAGGGCGACGGTCGTCGCGTGCAACAATTCGAATTACATTCGTATCATTATGTCTGCAGACGTTGTACGACGTTACGTATAGGTATGATTTTTGAAAAGCGTGTGTATGTATTTAATATTGCATTATATTATACTTTTATCGCTCGTATTTACACATATACATGTGTATACATTATACATAGTTACCCGTTTTAAATGAAATCCCCATTTTTTTTTTTTTGCCGTTTCGGAATGTTTTTCGGGAATTGAATATTCGATTTTCCGCCGTATCGTATACGTATACACGATTTTGCAGTTATACACTTCGACTATGTACCACAAAAGTAGTAGCTTACCCTTCAAGCATTTTATCAAAAATACCACAATCCACTTTATTCAACACAGTTTATAGAATACAACGATTTTTAGATCAGTTGTCATTATTATTTAATAGGGTTACAAAGTCAGACAGTTACAAATTGCATACATCAGAAGTATTCGATTATCGTACAGCTATCGTTAATTGTGCGAAGCAGTTATCACTTATTTTATTATATAAGGTCGCAAACGTACAATAAAAAAAAAAATGATAATAATTTATTACTGAACGATAAATTCTAAAAAATATGTATAATTTTATGTACGAGTTGACGAAAAATATTTTTTTAAAATATCATTATTTATCCAAAGAGCATAACTTTTCTACCAGCAATTTCGCTCCGACTTTTAATGATAGCATTGTTTCTAAAAGGAAATTTTACTGGAGAGGTCATTTTTCGGTTTTCTCAGAAGTTTTCCCAGCAAATGTGAAAAACCGGGAAAAACGTAGGGAAACTGAGAAAATCGGTACAACATTAAACAAATATTATTAAAGAAAATACATAAAGCCTACTTAATTATTTTACTATAAAAAGACATATGTATTGTTGACAAAGCATCACCATCAACTAAACTGCGCTCAGAATCGTTTTCTCGTATGCGATGGTTTATCGTTACTCACGGGCATGCATTGCACTGTCTGTAACAGTGGTTGCACCCATCCCCATTATCCTAGAACGTTTTTTTCTCACTTAATTGTATACAGTTTTTTTTATTAATTTTACAAAATTGGAGAGAATTCGGGACACCGGCACCGGGCCCTCGTAATTCAGCTCTGCCTGACATATGATAACGGTGATTTATAAATTATAATTTAAAACCGCAGTGTTTACTTTAAATTACAAAAAGTTGAACGGGGATTTTTATTTTTTCATTTCATATTGTAGACAATAGAGTTTACCGTACGCGACGAATGATGCTGATAGTAGAATTAGGCTGTTAATAAAATATATTATTATGTTATTACGCGCAACTATTCAAATTATATAATCCCCTAAGATTTACGCGTTTTATCTGTATAGTTAACTATGTTATATACGCAGTTCGACCGATAACGACGAGTGTAAGAGTAAATATCCTTAAAACATTCGATTAGGCCGTTGTATTTACAATATCGGACGGCGTGCGCGTATATAACTGATGAACGGACATTTTGAAAAATTACATCGATATTTCCATTTGGGAGAAATAGATGATTTATATCGATGTGTCCGCGTGTACTGATGTCGGCGGTGTACGAGAAATATTGTGTTGCGATTTCGATTCAAACGCAGGTACACCGTCGTCGAGTGTCGCCTAATACTTTTTTGATACTGAACGTTTGACCATGATTAGTAATTTTTTTCCCCCTGTCTGTGCAATCGATATTACGTTATAAAACGTCAACGCGTAATCGACCATGGTGAAATCGCGAACATATTCTTCTTCGGGTGGCTGTATCCGGTTCCGAACGTTGGCGACCGTTCCAGCAACCGTTCTTTCTGCTGGTTGCGACGCGAAATAACTCCGATGAGCCGTTTCCGTACCATACCCTTCAGATTCTGAAGCCATGATATTGTTCTTCTGTCCGCAGGTCCACTTTTTCCAAATAGTTTCCCTGGTAAAATGCATCGAAGCATAGAATACCTGCTCTCGTTCCTCATTATATGCGTCCAAGATATTCTTTTTTATTTTAATGGTGATACCGGCAGTCCGCGGTATCTTAAGTGTTCTTCTACACAGCGATAACTGAAAAGCTCTACGAACATATAATAGCAACTGAATTCGATACTGGCCACAAATACGTCGATGCATTGATATTACCGAAGGCGCTAAAATAAATCGACAAATATCGTTTTATCGAATGAGTCCGCATATCGATTTGTATTGTGTCTGTCCCCGGAATAATATGCAGATTACAATCACAACTTTTTAACGTCTTACGTTATATTTGACAATTATTTATATCGTTTTAAACGATTTAACTTTACGTCATATATTGTGTACTCGTTGTAATCGCCTCTGCTGCAAAATATTATTATACTTGTTTGGTTTTTTTAATGCGTGCAAACAATTTGAAATAATTATTTGTGTTTTCTAGGTTTTATGCGTAGCGAACTATCTATTGGTTTTACTTCAAGGTATTTTATTTATTTATTTTACATTCCGAGCGTGGCGAGGGAGCTATTGGTTTTACTAAGATTTTTATTTTATTTTTTTTTTCCCTTATTTTTTGTTCTAGTCTTTGAACACGTGTTTTCCCAGTAAACTTGCTCCGATTTTTACGTATAGCAACTTTTCTGAAAGCTCAGGTTGTCTAGATTGTAATTTTTTAATTTTCGACATTATTTTTTAAATAAAAGCCTTTGAGTGGGAAAAAACGTAGGAAAACGTACAATTTCACGATTTTATTATTTTATAAAAATACGGTCGACGTTACCAGAATATAAGATTTAATTGAAAAATCGCAAGGTACATTTTTCGTTACCTTTTAGATTTACTTTTAACGGTATCGTTGCAAAAACATTTTAGTTACTTTTGAGCTTTTAGGGAATTTTAATTTTTGTTGAGTTTTTTTTGCTGTTATCGGTTATAAATACTTACAGAAACTTAATACTTGGTAATAATACTTATATTGGACTTACCTAAACGTGATAAAATTTTGAAAATCATCGTAGGCCTTATTTTTTCCTTTTTAATAAGCGTTTTTAAATCAAATTTAAACGAAAATCGCAAAAAAAATTACTGCACTTCAAATTATGTATTACCGAACTGTTCTCGGAATCGTCTTTCGTCAAGCAATGGTTTATAGTTGCTTACAAATATGAATAAAATCACTTTATGTATCCTACCTTCCTAACTTCTCACCTACAACAGTGGCCGCTCCTATCCCCAGTATCGACTCATTTTATTTTGTGTGTGTGTGTGTCTGGGCAACATTTAATCAGAGAACTTGCACCAATCGAAAAATGACAAAAGAAATTTTTGTTGAATTTTGGATCTGGTTTATCCGAAAGTAAGTTATTTTGCAAGCGGTTTTCATTATAGTGAAATGAATTCGTTATTTTTAATTTGTATGTTTTCTACTAGAAATATTGCGCTAAAAAAAAAAAAAACTTGAGACCTTTTTTATTGTAACTAAATATTATAACTGCACGCATTATCACCGCTCGTAAAGAGCTAGATAACATTATTTGAATAGATACACATTAACTTGTACTAATGTGTTATTATCATATTGACTTTAGTTTTAGTTACCGTATCGTTACGGAGAGAAATCGAAAAGTTAAAATTTTTAATGAACTATACGATGTAAGTAAGTATGCCGAATGTAATGATACACGTTTTATACGAACAAAAAGACGCCAAGTACAAAAGTACAACCGGGACTAATGAAACGCGTGAAAAAAAAAAAAAGCAGCTAATTATTATCGGTTAATACCCGATTTATATACGCCGCGTCTTGAATTTACCTGTTGTGAAAAAAAAAAATCGACCTGTACTTATTCGCGTGCACGACGGACTGCGGTGTGTGGTCAGTAATTTTTTTCCGACCGATCGACGACACACGTACCTGCAGATGTCGCACATCAAATATGTCAGAAATATTTACCAAATGTTCCCAAATGATTCCGATGTAGTCGTAAAATATTACACAACGGACGAATAACGAATTTCGTTATGCGCTGCAGTATTCGCGAACGTGCACGATATGTATCGATTTTATCCGTGTTTTTCGGTTTTTTAACGCCAACCGACGCGTTTATGACGTAGGTTATTATAATATAATCTACAGAAACACGCAATAGATAATGTGATAAAATAAAATTGCTTTTAAACAGCCGGACATGAATTATCGCACGGTTTTTTAATGAAGGGCCGGCAAATTTCCTACCGTGGCTTAACGAATTCATTACCTAATCCGCGGATGGCGAAAAGAACGTGTTTCCTATTCAGAATGTTCGAAGACGCGATCACCGAGAATAATATCCAAACGCCAATACTTCAGAGCCCTGGTTACTAGTTATAATATACCGGGTCGCAGTTCTACAGTAAACTGTTTGTTGCAGACAAATTATTATAACGTAATATGAAACTATGCTACTCAAATACAACGAGCGACTTAACTTTGATCGAATTCTCTGTTGACAGTGAAAAAAGTATAGGTTAATGTAGTTTTTTTTTTTTTATATATATATATATAAAGTTACGTAAATTGAAATTTCAATGGAAATTGTAACAATCGCGTCGTTTCGCAAACTATTTTTCAATTAATGTGAATATAATTTTTCGGTCAAACCGAAACGTATAAACATTTAACACGCTAAGTAGATCGTAAGTTATAGTTGATGGTAAATACAAAATAAGTCAAGCGTAATGTAGTTTTTTTTTTTTATTAGCGTTTTTAGTTTAAAATATGTATTTACGATTTTCAGCATTTCAAAACTTGTTTAATTAAATTTTTCTCGGAACTATATTTAGTTTGCGACCGGGGCTTTGCGCAACGCAAAATGACATCTACAAAACATGAAAAAGTTCAAGAAACAATGGAAACTATTTTAAAAGTTGGAGGTGTCTGCTAGTTGCGCCAAAAATGTAATCAATGTTAACGAAAAAACATATTATTCGAATGGTTTAAAACGTATATTATATATTAGTATAAAAAAAAAAAAAAACAAAAGAACTCTCAAAGACTTATCAGTGATAAGCACATTTTAATACAGTTCGACCAATGTTTGAGGCCAGTAATTTTTCTGGGGAGAGGGGAGGCATTATTAAAAATTATAGTAATGACCCACTTTTTTTTTTTGTTTATCTATCCTCTTAGTCAAATTTGTTTTATTATTTAATTGATTTATCCAAATTTAACAGAGGGCTAACTAAATTCCAGGAGGGCTATCGCCTCTTCTGTCATATACCTGGATTCAACACTGGTTGAGGCAATAACACAGACTTGTAAATTATATCCGTTGGAAAAAAATCAGATATCTCCGTATTTAAATTTTAAGATTTGTCTGAACGGCGGGAATTTTATTTTATTTTTTTTATGCTATACAAAAAAGTGATTTTTGAAAATAAAATGGAGATGTCTGGTTATTTCACTCGCCCTTACTCTTCCGTTATTAACGTATACAGATATAAATTAAATCATTTGGCGCATCCTAATTTCCAATTTTCAACCGCAATATTGACACGCACGTCAACAGTATCGGCTCTATTAATATAATATAACTATATACAGTTTTATACAGTTCTGCTCTTCCGACAATTTCCATTAACATATTTATTTTATTTTTTTTTTATTACATTTTTCATGTAAATTTTACGAATTAACACCGTATAGACGCAATGTTATTTGTCACTCGCGCATAAATAGCCGGTATTTAGTTTTTTTTTCTTTTGGTTTATTAAAATAGTTGGGAAAATGGTATCGTTTCGCGTGAAAATAAAAGTGCACATAAAATATCATTTGTTTCTGCTTTCGAATGTATTGTAAACATATTGTACATTTTTTTTTTTTATGTAACTATTTTACTTTATAACCGTGAAACTGACAGTGGTACACTTTTTTTATTCTTCACAAACATGCAGCAATATTTATATTATATGATAATATAATTTTAAATAATTTTAAAAGACGCTGCCAGCTCTCTTTTCCGCTTTCGTTTGCATTATTAGTAAACACGTGCTTTTTAATGACACTGAAATTATTTATATGAAATAATTTTTATCGTTTAAAAAAAATTAATATTAATATAAAATTGAAGAAATGTACACGGAAATAATCGATAATATACAACAAAATGAATATGAAAAAAGGAATTTTATTTTATTTTTAAATAATTTGAAAAAAAAATTACATTTTAATGGACAAATTAATAGTTAATAACTAATAGATTTATAAATAAAAATACGGACATACTTCGCACGATAAGTGCAGCTAATTTTATTGGTGAGAAGTTGGGAAGGTAGGATATAAAGGGGAAATTAATTTGTATCTGTAAGCAACGATAAACCGTTGCTAACGGAAAAAAAAATTCTGAACGGAGTTCAGTTGATAATGATGCTTTTTCAATAATATGTATGTCACATGGGAAAATAAATAAATAGGAATTATATATTTTCTTTAATAACATTTGTTTAATATCTTAACGATTTTCCTGGTTTTTCTACGTTTTTCCGGGTTTTCCCATGTTTTTCCCCAGTTTTTCATAATTACTGGGAAAACTCTTAGGAAAAAATGACCTCTTTAAAGTATTTTCTTATTCAAATTTCCTTTCAGAAAAAATGCTATTATTGCAAAATTATTGCTGGTAGAGAAGCAGTTTACAATAAAAAAAAAGGCCGTAATATTTTTTAACTAATACCTAAATTTTGTTCATTTTCTCGTTTTATCCCATTTATTGAGAAAACTCCCGAGTAAATCGAAAAATGACCTCCCCAGTGCGATTTCCTTTAGAAAAAGTACTACACTTAAAAGCAAGATTTCTGATAGAAAAGTTTGCACAATAAATCGAGGGTTATTTTTCAATTGAAATAGCCCGAGTCAACGATAGCTGGGTTTCCAAGTACACTTAAAATGCATTTGTTTTTTCTCTATTTAGGTAAAAAGTAAGTGCAAACATTTTTTTTCGAATCACGGGTTTGAACTCACGAACTCTATAGAATGACAATATATATATATATATATAATATCAGAACTTTAAAAAGCTTTAATTTCAAAACTGAGTCGGTCCACTCAATTCACCACCATTCAAATAATATACGGAAATATACAAATGTCCAAAAAGAAAAAAAAAATTGAAAAATTAGAT